CTCTCTCTCTCTCTCTCTCTCTCTCTCTCTCTCTCTCTCTCTCTCACACACTCTTTCTCTCTCTCTCTCTCTGCCTCTTTATCTCAAGGCGCGACGACACGACAATGCGGCGCGATAACGGGAAGGGTGAATTGGTACGTGTGAAGATCGTTCGCGCCCTGATTAGCCTGATTGTCCATCGGCGAATATATCTTGCGCCTACGCGCTGCATTATATAGGGCGATGGCTCCCTTCTCCTGGCCGGCCGAGCGTTATCGATTGTTACGAGCGCCCCGAAACCAGAACCGTAACTAGAGAATTACAGCGCCTACGGTGAATTATTCTCAACGAGAGGCCGTAGACAGAATAGATCAGCGCGATCCCGACGTTGATATCGGAGTAAGGAGCAGGAGGAAAATTTGCGGAACCGTTAGTTTTCGAAGAGAGCGACGCTGAGGAGGACGTAGGCGTGACTTGTGCGAAAGTAACTGCCGGTACTTGAGTGAGGGTGAGCGTGGTCGCACGAGCTTTATCTCGTGATTATTTCGTTGTTTTGTCATGTCACCGGAACGGAAGATCGAGAGGAGCGTGTGTCTCGCGCGCGAACAATTTTGCAAAATGCTCAGTCGCTGCGATTAATGATGAGGACATTCGTGATTGTCGCCGTTCGACAGGTACCGTTCACACAGCCAGGGAAACCGTGTGTTCGCTATGGCCCAGCTACGGCTCTGACCTTACCGTTTGATAACGTGCTAAATGTGCACTTTCCGCGCGCGCGAGAGCATGCGTCCGCATCTGCAACCTACCACCGGCTGCGCCAGTCGCACGTTGGCCGATGACGGATGCGCACGGGTTGACAGTTAACGTGTCACCGACTACACCGGCGGCACGCTGCTTCGAGGTAAGTGCGATCCGCAATACCGTATCTGTGTTGTCCTGTCGGCTTCGCAGGATAAGTGAATCTTATGCGGCTCCCAGCTTTCATGGGTGACATCCTTTTTCGAGAGTTCTCCGCGGCGAAGGCTGCGAAGATTTCGGAGCAGGCAGGTGCTTCGAGAAATTGAATTGAAAAGCGCAGGATTTCTCTGTTACGTGTCGTTCTAATGTGGCAGTGCGTAAGAGTGCATTTCGTATTTTTGTTCGAATTTCGAAATATTCTGTTCCGATCTGGAAAATAACAAAATCACGACGTTGAGAGCCGGGATCAAAATACACGGTTTCTTTCGAGTTTGTGAGATGATTTCCCGCGAATCTCGAGTTTCAATTACATTATCTCAATTTGTACAATATAATTACATATGTATTTTAATCTGCTATGTACTTCTGTTCCATAGCAAGTTCAGAAAGTGACATGTTTCAGCGAAAAATGAAGAAAATATATAAAATTCATGTGAATGCTCTTATACGTCTTTTGTCTTTGCTTTTTGCTAGATGTGCAATCGAAATACGAGAATCTGAAGATTCAATACCGGTGTTGCAATTCGTCAAGTACAAATGTCGCTATATCGATATTCGCATTTTCACCCGGAGCACCGCATGCACCAGTTGCATTTTCGCACATCGTCCACGAGCGCGATTCCGTCTCGTCCGTAACGATTCCACGACGTGAGACATTGCGACGTCTTTCAGACATCGTCAAGGATATCGACGCGGCCGTATCAGTGTCGATGAAGAAGACGGATGCTGCGATATAATGGCATCCAGGAGGCCGACGAAGTACGACGACTCGTAGAATCACGATGGAACTGTGCAAAGGGTCCTGGAAGGTCTTAATCCTCGTCTGCGTGTTCGGCATTTACACATGGATATTCCTCGTTGATTACTCGCACACGCTGTCGCAGAGGATATCTCTGCAGAGAACGCGGATCTCCGTGTCAGCGGGGAACGTTCTGCACCAGGCTCTTGATCAGCCGAAAATCGAGCAGGTGTTCGCAGGCGACGGAGCGGCTTCGAAAATCACGAAATCGCAGTCGACGTCACCGCGGAATTCGAGCGACACGTTCAAGAGCAATGTGTCCACGTCGAGATATCAGACCCCGAAGCAACAGGGTCTAATACCCAGCAGACAGTTGCCAACCGCTCTGATAATCGGCGTGAAGAAAGGCGGTACTAGAGCTCTCTTGGAATTCCTGAGGCTGCATCCTGCTATTCGCGCTGCCGGCTCGGAGGTCCACTTCTTCGACCACCACTATGTCAAAGGATTCCGTTGGTACAGGTGTGTACGATGAGTCGCTTCTATGATTGAAAAAACTATTAGATTCCAATAATTTTTACAAAATTAAGTTAACATATCGGAACCAATATGGAAAATTGAAAAAGCAATACACAAAAGCAATACAATTTTACACTCTGTATAAATGAATTATATAGAATGTTCTCAAAGATCTCATAGAATTTTGTTGAGACAAAATAATTAATTTCTCAAAAACTATTGCGAATATCGCAAAACGGTACAGGACTTTCTTGCTCACCTCAATCCGTTCTACGTTCTACGAAATGATTTAATTTATTAGATTGATGCAAAAGATTAGTTATATTTTTTCCGTAAACTCTCATAAGATATTTGCATATCAAAAGAAAAATAGAAAGAATCCTTATTAATAAAAAATATTGTACTTTAAAAAAATACTCGAAATAAAACAAAAAATAATAAAATAAAATAAATACTCTCTATAAAAATATTCTATAATATCTATAATACTCTATAATATTCTATAAATCTAAATAAAATAAAAAATACCGATATTGTTCATTTAAATAAAATAAAAAATACTCGATATTGTTCATTTTATTCGCAAAAATTCTTAATCCTTCAAAATTGAATAATTTCTTTCTCTATTTCACTTACCAAATACGCGAAGTCGTTTACACCGACCTAATGTACTGATCTTTGGAGTCACATATGCTTACATGAGTATAAGTGCGTCCAACAATTTCTGTTCTAATTCTCCCGTTTCGATCAGGCGTAGAATGCCTCCGACTATGGTCGGCCAAATCACCATGGAGAAGACGCCGTCATACTTCGTGACGAGTGAAGTACCGAAGCGGGTAAAGCACATGAACTCGGGAATGAAACTGATCGTCGTGGTGAGAGATCCCGTAACCCGGGCGATATCCGATTACACGCAGGTGAAGAGCAAGCGCGTCAAGATGCCGCGGTTCGAGGATCTTGCCTTTCTGAACGGCTCGCGGATCGTCGATATCTCCTGGGTGCCGTTGAAGATCGGGGTTTACGTGCGGCACCTGGAGAGGTGGCTGCAGTACTTCCCGTTGTCGCAGTTCTTGTTCGTGTCGGGCGAACGTCTGATCGCCGACCCCGTGATGGAGATCACCAGGGTGCAGGACTTCCTGGGCCTGAAGCGGGTGATATGCGAAAAACACTTCTACTTCAACGCCACCAAAGGCTTCCCTTGCTTGCTCAAGTCGGAGGAGCGCGCGATGCCGCATTGTCTCGGTGAGACGATTTCTGGGGTTGATTTCGAGTTGATTTGTCTAGAGGAAGACGCGGCTCGTCGAAATATTAAGTCTATTTGTTTCCGAAAAACTGCATGAGTTAGAGTGAGTACACAAGTACCCTTTCTTTCACTCTAACTTATTGCACTAGCGTGCACTAACTCAGAAATTCTTCGAAAACGAACGGGCCTTATGATTCTCTTCGATTTGCGATCTATTTAAACCCAATTTTCTCTTTTATTTACGCAATCAAACGGAGATAAACTACTCGCGAAATTTCGATATCCCGCAGCATAGCTTGGAGTTACTTTCACGTGAAATATCGAGTGCAATGAAATCGAATAATCCTCAATGTATTATTAATCGTGGATTATCCAATTACTTTTCAGGAAAGAACAAGGGTCGCAGTCATCCTTACATCGATCCCATGGCGGTTCAACGTCTGCGCGATTTTTATCGGCCGTTCAATCAGCGCTTCTATCAGCTGGCGGGTATGGATTTCGGCTGGTTCTGAAACCCGCGCGGTATTGCATTTGGAATAAATACATATCGTAAGTAGGGAAACGGAACGGAGTCAATTTTCGTCGTGTATCGAATATCTCGCAGTATCTATTACGCCTGAATATCCGTAATCTGGTCAGGATAGGAATGCATACATACATATTAATGATCATGTAGAAACGCGCCGTTAGCGTCCATAGCATTTGTGCGGGTCGTGTTACGATTCGGTTTGCGATCGGGTGAATTTCATCGTCTCTCGCGGTGCACCGCGAGGGGCAACTGATTTTTACTGTTAATTCAGTCAATGCCGCACGTTGCGGTGCGTTAATGTGGCAGAAGCTACTCGTTACTTTTCGCGCTTGTTACCGTTAAACTAGTAATTTACGAAGATTTAAGGCGTCTAAGTTCTCGCGTGTAAAGTTGGGTTGCGAGGTATAAGTAAGGTTCTCAAGGATTTACGTGCCATCGAGGTACAAGTAAGGCGAGAAACGGTTATACGCTGTCTCTCAAAGTTATCAATAGTGCACGGTTCCCGTCCCGAGATCTTAACGAAAAACCGCGACATATCTATTTGCTGTAATTACCGTAACTATTATAACGATTGCGATAATCAGAGAGAATCACATATCCGAGATACCTTTTATTCGCTCTAACAGAAAGATTGTATGAATACATATGTACAGTGAATATGCGTGGAAAAAAACGGTGAGAATCACGTACAATTTTCTCTCGAGACTCGAGCTGTACAACTCGTTACTTTCGCTGAGCAAGAAAACGCGAGCACAATTAATTGTAATTAATTGCGTCGAATGCAAGTGTTAAGATAACCGTCGTTTGGTCTTATCTTGTTATACATCTTTCAACTCGTTTCGACATTTACACTGCGTGTGTAAGAGAGCTCCAGTTTAATATAACAACGATTCTCTTTACACCTACTCGGAGTATCATGCAAAACGTGACCGCGCGGGCTTTATTGTAAGCAGTTGTACAACAGTCGGAAGGGTGAATCGAGCGAGGAAAGAAAGAAAAATAATTTTTCTTTACCTGTGCAGTCTTTCACAGACGCTTCAATTAAAAAAAAAAATGGTCTTGTTGTGTTTCGCGACAAATACATGTATAAGCAACAAAAGATCACATTCGTTGTAATCCGTATAATAGCGAGCTATTATATGCCGTCCGGCTATTAAGTAATGAGACTGATTTTATTAAAAAAAAAACGAGAGAAAAAAGTAAAAAAAAAAGATAATGGCGATGATGACGTTTGAAATCAGTTCACTTTATTTCTTCGACATATACCCTCCAATTTCGATTCAGTGAGTGGCACGTTCGACCAACTCTTGGAACAACTGATGGATGTCCTCCTTCGGTATCGTCTCCAGACAGAGTAACACGGTCAGAGTTTGCCGTCCTTTCAGCGATATTTTAAGTTTCGGAAATAGGAAATAGTCGCAAGACGTCAAGTCGGGCGAGTGGGGGTGCGCGAGCATGCAGATTCGTTTTTGCGCCAAAAAGCTGAGCACGTCGATACTCTTGTGAGCCGGCGTATTGCTGTGCAGCAGGAACCAGCTGCCTGGCTCGTAATATTCCAGCCTGGTGCAAATAATTCGTTCCCACAAGCACCCCAAAACGGTCAGATAAAACTGGTCGTTGAAACTTACTCCATTTGGCACGAATTTATAGTGGATGATAGCCTTGCTATTGCAAAAAGTCGTCAGAAGTGTCTTGATTTTTGTCATCTTCGGTTATAGATCGGCCGGTTTCGGTGTCAGATCGACATCACTGTCTTTGCGCTTCAGTTCATTGTTATACTGGAAGCACCATGTTTCATCGAGTTTAGGAACTTGGGATTCTTCAGAGGGAAGTGCGAACGATGTCCTTGGCATATCAGATGCGGTCGTACAGATGATCGTCCGACAGATTGAGCGGCACCAAACGTTCGCATATGCTCTTTTTTTTCCAAATCGTCACGATTTTGCGCATCGTCTCCTTGTCGACGCCAAAGTCTTCCGCTATTATCCGCAAGCTAGCGATTAATTTTGATTTGCTTGCGCATTTTTTCAACGAACTCCTCGTTGCGGATCGAGATTCACGGGCATTCTATCCTCTCATCATCCTTCAAATTTTTCCGGCTATCTCTGAACCGCGCGTAGCAGCAAAATATCTGCGCGCGGGACAGGCACCTCCTTTCCATATATTTCTTGCATGATTTTTAGTGTCTCGGATCCACTTTCACCAATTTTGAAATTGCTGAATTCAATGTTCGCCTTTTGTTTCATAGCGCTTCCGTGACTACGGTTACTGACAATACAAATCAGAATGTGCAAACGGTATATGGTCTTCATCTTGTTATATATGGCTAGAGAACGTCCGAGCACATCGGTCCATATGCCATTAACGGGTGGTACATAAACGGCGGGTCGATAAACTTTTAACAGTTTACGCATTAGGTTGGGATACATTAAATTCGGCTGAAAAAGTAATGTTATTCGTTGACAAATGATGTTGACAGTAAACTCGATAGGAAATCAGTCTCCTTTGATCGCTGGACCAGTGTGATAAGATATCCAGTTGTGGCTTAAAGAAGTATATAAAGTATATGGGGTACTGCATGGACCCTACACGCAAAAAAAATCTCGATTGGTGCAAGCGAATAGGAACCAACTGAAAATTAGCTGATCAGAAGCGATATCTCTGTTTTAAAAACTAATGTTTCTGTTGTCGCAACCGAAAATATTCGTCTGAACATTCAGCGATATTAGAACTTAGTTGAAGCAACTGAGAACAATTGACTATACAGAAGCCTCATAAAGGAATTTTTCTCTTCCTACAGCCGAGTTTTCGTCTGATCCTTGAGCAACCAAATTCGGTTGCACCAACAGAACTGTTTTTTCTGTGTATTATTCTACAGGGAAATTTTTGAAAAGTACATATAAAATATAAAATATATGTTTCTTACATATATATAACTTTATAAACATATATTTTATATTTTTTATATATTTTACATCATATATTTTCAAAAAACTTTCTCTATAGCTCTATAAATAAGGTCTTTGCAGTATCCTAATTTATATACTTTATTAAGTCGCAGCTGGGTACGTCACACTGCGCTGGATTGTATACGATAACTTGTTATAAGTTACGACGTGCAATATTTCACTATTCAGTTTAAGATTATCTTTTTTTTCTTCTAATTCTGATGAGGAATCCTCCACTAAACTTTTAGCCCTCTCTGAGGATATTTTTGATTATGGGATTTATGATAACTCTTCTATAAAAAATTAATTTCTCTTCGCCAAAAGTAGATTCAAAAAGTCACAAATTACGTCCGAACAAGTTCGAACACGTTTTTATGTTTTTACGTAGCGACGGTTAAACCGGAGCTAGTTTAAGATTATATTTCGTATAAGATTATGCATAAGGTTTTACATTAAGCGTTAAATATTTTAGAGACGATTTTGTGAATTTTTTATTAGAACCCTTTTTTCATAATTTAGAAGAGCAAAACGCGCGTATGATATTTGTGATGACAGCCTTTTTAAATTACCTTTGTGACTGTAAATTGTGTGTTATTTCTCTTGAAGATTTAATTCTAATGCCCGATTCACTCCTTGATAACAATAGTAGATAACAATCTACTAATATAATAATCTTTAATATAATGTATATAGTTACGGCGGAGGAACATGAGTGAAAGAACAATACCAAAATTCACTAGTTCCTAAGCACTAACGTCTAGTCAATATTATTAGCCAAAATATGCTAATAATTGCGAAATAACATAATAGAAAGGCACCGATATAATTAAGAATAAAAGCTAAAACAAAAGATGAATTATGCAGGCTGTAATGTAAAATGTAGGATTGAATCGCAAAAATATGTTCTCTGATGAGTTTTGCAAACAACTCTGACAAAAATATCTCCACTTGTTGGTTGGTATTTCGCGCTTAATAATTTTCGCCACATATTTCTACATTTCACAATACAATCTGTGTAACATTTACAGGATCGATAAGATTCGCGAATGGACAAAGTGAATTTGAGAATTAAGGAATCAATAGGTATAAGAGAAAAAAGTGATTTAGTGAGTTTTCTCGCAGATTCGTGGAACTACAATGCAAAATACGTTTTGTATGTGTAAGGGAGAGTTATAATTAGCATATTTATCCGACGATAAAATCGGAGAACTGATTTATTTAGTGTATAAGAATGAAAGTAGATAACACACTTAGTGATATAATTCACATCATGAAGGATGATGCGATGTAATAGTGAAGCACAGTGCTTTTGCTCAAATTGTACCACAGGGCTGTCAATATAAATATAAGTATTTCGTACGTTGTTTCAAGTAAACAAATCATTTGACACGTACCAGAATATGTGTATATACTAATTCTTGATTAAGCAACACGTCTTATTAGACATTATTTGTCGTAATAACCTTGTGATTTTTTTCTTTGGTTATTTATATGGAAAGAATGATTCTTATGCAGGACTACAGTTTTTAAACATGTAAGTAGATCATTCTTGGTAAGTAGTTGAATAATAATCCGATTTGTCAGTATCTTTGCAGTAACGTTCTATTTTATTGACGTTTATACTCTTATCAAACAGGAGAAATCTTTTAGTTCATTGCTTCACTCTCATATTATTAAAAAAAATAATAGGCTGGAAATGATACTAGATTGTTCCATAGCGCAAATAATGCTTATATCAATATTAACAAAAAATCTAATTTGTAAATAAAAAGATTTTTGTATAATATAAAATCAGTACAATAAAATTATAGTTTCTCTCTATTGGTCGTTATAACAGAATATCGTTGGTAGCAAAATTTCCATATGTATATCTTTCTATTTTTACACACAACAATGTAGTTACAGATTAAAACGACTATAAAAAAATATATACTAATAAAAGCAGTATCTTTTTCCAGATCTTAAGGTTGATTGACTACGAAGAAGAACATTCGCCACTGTGTGTGTGTTACAACACAGCTATATGATACCTAGACTGCTAACATCTGTAAATACGAGAAATTAATGTGAGGTGGAAATATAGTGGGAATGATAATCATATTTTGGGGAAGTACAAATATCGATTGTTCCATTCCAATTGATTAATTTGAAAGCCAAAACTCGTTATGAGCTTTTTCCTTTGTTTTATGTGTTTTCTCCTTTTTTCAGTCTTTCTCTTCATTCTTTTTCTCTCTTTTTAAGTCTTGAATCCGTTTCTTTTACACTCTCTCATTTTGCCTTTCCGAAAAATGGCGACAGGACTTACCTGTGCATCATGTCTGAGTGTGCCTGATAGCAATGCAAGTATCATATAGAAGTCTGTGGTTACGACTATGATGGAAATAGTAATTCATGAGAAATATCGATATTTCCCGGCAGGTTTTCTTTGTTTCACGTGTATCTTCACAAACCGTATCGCCTAATATATCGCGTTACTAAAATAAAATGTAATATCTGTGTTTTAATCGAAGCATCGGAGATTCTTCTTGGAAGTTTATCGAGTTCACGAAACGTTTTTTACGTGTAAACTTCCGGATTTGATGAAGCTTCTGGATAGCTTTCACTGTTCTCAACCCGTTTACATTAAAATAATATAAAAAATAAGAGTAGACTACTTTTCTGCGCTCATTAATCTTCTATAATCCTGTTGATCCTGAACCATTTTCTTGAACACGTGATATTTTCGAAGATGATACCTAAAATAATTACAGATAAATATATAATGGATATATATAAATGCGTATAAAAAAGACTCAAGTCTTGTTTAATGACTTTGGGAGATTGGCTTTTCGTTACCAAATATCTAAGTGTACGATTTCCATATTGAATAAGAAATACGAAAGAAGTTTTCTATACTGATACTTTTTCAGAATCTCCTCTGTGCTTTATGTTTATTAATCGTATACTCACTTGTAACAGTCGTTTGTCGGTTTCACTATATTCGCCGACCCTGCCATTCTTTTGATAGTCTCATGCATAGAACACTGTTTCGTGGCACACGCTCCGAGAATCGCGGAGCCGATTAAGACCGATTCCCGTTCCAAGGGACAAAGTACAGGCAATGCCAACACGTCGGCTTGTATTTGGATGAATAGTGGATTCTGACTCAGCCCACCGCAAACTAATATAGTCTCGATATTATGTCCGGCAGACGTCATGGCTTCTATTATATGCTTTGTACCGTACTATATTGGGGATTGATATTTTAATACGTTTTCTTTTTTCTCAGTAATCATGTATCTTAAATATTATCGTTTATTGAATTTACCAAAAAGTCGAGATTTACGCATGCAACGTCAAAATCTACCCTGGTGATAGCGAAATAGAGAATACTGTTGCTTAGTAATAAATGATCGTGTAAAAACACGTCAGACATCTGTGTAGAGTTTTATTCGTTTGAAGATATTTTTTGTGATTAAATGTCTAAAGAACTTTAATATTAATTGAACGAATCTCTTCGTTCGTGAGATAAAGAACACTGCAGTACTCAATTAATTCACTAAAGTATATAAATCGATCTTTACAGCCGATTTTTACTATATATTTCCTCATTAATCTGACGTCATTGATTAAGAATTCCGTAGCGATAGACCAGAAGCTTCAATGTTATACATATATAAAATATCATATTTAACTTACAACGTACCGTTAATGCTTGCACTGTCGCTAAGTATAATAACGCCAAGTTCTCCTGATCCACTGATAAGGATAATCCGGCTACCTGAAATACATGGTTCATAGAAATCGTGTCTGTTTCGCGACGCACGGCGAAGCTTCATATCTAAGGAAAAATCCAATATGTATGTCAATACCATTCCTTTCAGAGTTGGATCAGCAAGAGGCGAGCGATTACCGTGGAAATCCGGCCATACGTGTATGTCCTTCGTCAGATACGACACGTTCTGCAGATTCTTTTGCTCGGCCATCACGTGCAACAGTTCCGACAGGTGTTGTTGGATGTGTCTGAAATGAAAGGCAACGTGGAAACTGTCGTTGTCCTATTAACGCATCGACTTTGTCATGGCGAACTCACTTGTTGCCGGCCAAACTGTTCAGGATTCCCGGCGTCGCCGGGTGAGTGTCGATGACATGATCGAGCAGCTTCCCGGTAGCACTCTGACCGCCCTCGTTGAGCCACAGACCGGGCACCATTGCGCTGTAATACGGGCCCCAGACGCCGTTCACATATATCTCATTCTCGTTCACTATCATATGACACGTCGAAGTACCGCAGATCAAAGCTACAAGTTAAGAATGATATGGACACAGATATGTTAAATTGTTTTCTCCGTCAAGCAATCACCATTCATCGTCCCACATGCAATTACTGACGGTATTTCGTTGTACCTAGTCGGTTGGAGAAATTTGGAGATATATCCGCTGCGTAGCACCCGATCATGCCGAGGCCGCCGGCGTGCGCGTCGATCAGCGATGTCCCAACCGGAGTGTTTTCCAATAATCCCAATTCGGCTGCAGCTTTTGCCGACAATCCGGGCTCGATCGCGTCGCCTGGCATCCTTACGTCGTTACCTAGTCGTGAAAAATATTGCGATAAGCATCGATATGTTTAATTCTTACAATCCGGGAAGCTACTATAGTGGCGCGGCGGGGGTATCGTACTTTTTACCAATCTATTCTTTAACATATATAAAAAAGTTCAAGATTAAAGACTAAAATTCACTCGAAACTCGTCCAGACTGTAAGAATTAATATCTGTGTTCTCGCGTGACTTATTTGCGCACAATTCACGTCCGTGTTATCTGTTTTTACCTATTTTTCTCCAATTGTCTTTCTTAAGATCACGTAGATTAATTTGCTCGAAGAAATCTTCGTCCCATCCTTGTTTACCATTGGGATTACTGCCGTAGTTCCACTTACACACTAAAGAACACAAAGATCTAAAATGAAAGATAAGGAATAAAGAGATACCGATTCTCTCTATTGAAGAATCTACGAATCGACAACGTACCGCGCCTCGGACTCAGTGGCTTTCCACGTTAAGAAATCTGGTAGGTCAAATAGCAATGCCGCTGAGTTCCAGGAAGCGGGTAAATTCTTCTTGAGCCATAGCATCTTCGGCGCTTGCATCTCGAGAGAAACTTTGCCGCCTACATATTGTAGTATATCGTGATTTGTAGCATTGATAAACTCAGCTTCCTCGTGCGCTCTATGATCCATCCACAATATGACATTCGATTTCTCTTGACCTGAACAATCGGCGCGTTCATTTATGTGTTACAGATATAAGAGTGGAGCACGAAATATTCGTCAGTTTGCCGGTTTTACCTGTAAGACTGACTGTCACAGGTGAGCCTGTTTTGTCTACAGCCACTAATGAGCAAGTAGCGTCGAAACCAATGCCTTTAATATCTTCCGCGGAAATATCAGCGACTACCGACTGAAAGTGGAAGTATAAAGATAAAATAAAAATTCTAACTTGGTCTCTTTCTTTCCTTTCAAATTTTAATAGATATCCTACCTTGACAACGTGGCACACTGCGCTCCAAATGTTATCAGAAGATTGCTCATAGAAGTTAGGAGCAGGATTGAATATTTCAAGGGGACACGTAGCCACTTTCTTTATTTTTCCATTTGAGGTGACTAAAGCCGCTCGGACGCTTCCTGTTCCCACGTCTACACCCACGAAAAAGTCCATGATTGTTGCAATTGTGTTAAAACTGACATCTGCTACTTTTCACCAAATAGAATCAACTGAGCCTTCCACATAGAGCTTAGGCAGGAGCTCTAAATGAGGAATGAATCATGATTATCAGCCGACCATAGTGCATGTTGATCATTGACTTTATATTCCAAGATGACATGACCCTGAGATAACACTAATTGCGAAGGAGATATGGTGTGAATAAAGACTCTAAACAGTGTAGCGCATTATCAGTTAAACCTCATTTAATCCAGCAATACGCGTACAGATCTCAGGTCGGTGAACACAAGTAACATGTAATTAAGGTGACCAGATGTTTTTTCCAGGACAGTTTTTACTTATTATCCTGGATTTTTTCGAATGTTATCTGGAATGCTGATTTATCCCAGATTTGATCAAACTATCCTGATTTATCGCAATCTAAAAGGTTTCTAAAATGCCTCTGACAAAGTGACAGGTAAATGTTTTCAAAAAAATTCACAATTCTGGTAAATGCAGTAGCTTTGTTTCTTCTCTTTAATCTTAAATAAGAATAATAAAAGTTTTATCTTAGCAGTAATTTTTATTTGTACTGTGTATAGCAGGTCTTTATTGTTGTTAAAATATTTTTCATATGTTTATAAATAAAGTACTGATTTAGATGTGTATATATATATATATATATATATATATATATATATATATATATATATATATATATATTTAATTCTCAATTATCTTTTATCCGCTGCACTTCATATGTTTATGAAGTGTCCTAGATTGAGGCTGAGAAATCTGGTCATCTTAATGTATAATTAATCAGTAATTTTCTACAAATTATTAACAGCACAATCTTAAAAATGAAATGTTATATCCATGTATACAACATATGGCAACATATGGCAGACTGGAATTTTATTATTTTACAAAATAACATTTATTTGAAATACTATGCTTCTCTTATTAGATAAAACTACTATTTTGTTTATAATATTTCATATATAATATAGAGATGTGTATAGAAAAATTCGTACAAAGTATCTTACATTTTAAATTCCATCTTGTAATTCTACTGAGTAGTTATCCATCTCCACTATGTAGTTAACACAATTTTACTATGCATTTATATTAGACATTATCTAGCACAATGTCGTCACATGTTCACCTTGAGACATCTAAAATTTTAAATAGGGTAATGTTTACTTATATAAAATCATTTATAATGTTTACTTATATAAAATCATTTATTCATAACGTTTTTATTTATAAAATACATACCGTGTAACTGTGACGGGAAATATACAACGTTGATTGCACAGTTGACATAAAAAGTACGCCACGTAGCAATGACATAAAACCAGTTCCATCATTATAGCTTTTACACGTGCGCTGTACCAAGCCGTACGCTTGATACTGCTTGATACTGACGCGATCCAACCTCACCTGATTGATCTGACGCATGTGATTAGTACAAGTTAGAAATGGATAATGCTGAAGAAAATTGACAGTCAAGAAATTAATTATATCCTACAAACACATTGAGAGAGAAAATAAATAATTAATTTTTTATAGTTTTATCACAACTTTGTTTAGTATTTGATTATTAATAATTAATTGGCATTTACAGTCAGGATACAGCAACGCTAATACGTATGATGAAAAATAACATAATTAAATAATTTTTCGTCCTATATTTAATGTCTTTAGAAAAACAATTAATCGGTTTTCGCGTCTTCTTTTTTAACAATACGTATTGCAGTTTATTATGTATATGAAGATTAATAAAAGTGTATCTAAGCTATTCAATCGTATTATCTACAAATAAAACGTTTTTGTTTAAAAATAAATTGTTCAATTTATTGTATTTATTTATATATTAGAAGATAACTCACGTAACATAAAGCACGGGCCTAAGGCCAGTTCTACAATACGTCGTATGTCGAAATCGGAACACAATTAATGGTCCAATCAGGAGAACTCATCTCGAAAAACAAATCCTCTAATTGGCTTATTGAGGCTGAAGTCCCATGGCATGTATTTTCGCATACCGCGTAAACGCGTAACCAATAAATTGCGACGTTTAGTATTTCTGTTGGAACTTCTAAAAGAATAAAAAGATGTGATTGGTTACGCGGTTACACGTACGCGAAAATGTTCATGGGACTCCATCCTAGGCTGCGTTCAGATTCCTTACCCGGGTACATTCTAATACAAGAAGTGCTATAGTATATGTGACATATACTATAGTGTTTCTAGTAACAGAGTGCACCTAGGTAGGGAATCTGAACGCACCCCTAAGGGTCCTATTCTTTGTACCCAGCTGCACTGCTGGGTACCTATTATGGATTTCTTCGGAATCAATTCCGATCGAAATAATTCCGTTTTCAGAAAAGACAATAGAAATCTAGGAAATAACTGAATGTTTCCGATCGGAATTGATTCCGAAGAAGCTATAGTAGGTACCCTGAACTAGTACAATAAGTTAGAGTGAGAAAACGTATACTTGTCTCACTTCAATATATTGCAGTTCAGCAGTGCAGCTACAAAGAACAAGTCTAAGGTTGTGGATAAAGAGTCATTCAGAGTTCTGGCATAACCGCTGTTACATTTAAACGTGTCCGAGTAAGTTCGGACCTGATATTTTTTTTTGGAACTTGTACCTTGGTACCTGGCAGAAAAGGCTATTTGAAAAAGCCAAATAAAATATAGAGAAGAGAGTACGATTCAATAGAGCGTTATAAAAATATAATAATATATTTTTAGGAGGTTAAAAAGAAAAAAAATAGGATAAACTGAAAGAAATTCTAAACGTTTCAAAGTGTTTATATCAAATTGAATGCATTCTTAAGATATGGTCCGCTTCAAGAACAGGTAATTCGAGACATAATTTTTAATGATGTTTAATGTTATATATTGCATTATGTACACGTGTATGTTCATTCAGGTATATGGTTCTTGAAATAACACCACATAACAGAAGTGATAAACCGTTAATATTGAAAACTACAGTTCTGCATGATGCTATTCAACAGGAAGTACAAAAATTGTACGGTGATTTTGGAGTAGCTGCAATAAAGGCTGGTTTTAATGGTAATTTAATGTTTTGCAATAATAACAATGCTTCTAATGTAACTCTTGTGCCTATATTAACACAATGTGTATGTGATTCCGTTACTGTTTTTAATTTATATAATCTTAATGTTTTTGTTATAACTTAAATTTATTTTATTATAGCAAAATATTGTAACACACATACTAAAATTGCACTGGTAAAAGCTAGACATGGCCCTCACAAATTTTTATTGCGTGCTATTCCATTAATGAATGATGTAGGTGGACGACATGTTAAAATAAATATCCTGTATGTTGGGGCAACTATAAAACATTGCTTTCTCTTTATCAGAGTATGTATATAATATTTTTTATTTATTTTATATTAGAAAGATTGCTTTCTCATATTAAACATTTAAATGTCAAGTATGTGATATTTACGTTTTGATCTAGAAACATCAAGAAAAGAAACTGGAACAAATATGGGCAAGTTTACGAACAGATACTGAAAGAAAAGAAATGGAGGAGGCTTTAATGACTCTGACACCTGCTATGAAAGATTTTACATAAATATTATAATTTATACCATGTAATATATTTTAAGTATATATAATATATAATGTAATATATATTAAATACTGCTCTCTCCTATTTTTATTTTTATAAATAGTTGTATTTAATTATATGCATATTAAGAATAAATCAGAGTTTTACTTTTTATATAAATATATTTTTATTTAAATATTTTTTTTTATTTATCATGTAAAAAATAAAACATGCTGAAACACTATAAAAGCATGTTACACTAGAGAATCAAACCTATTATATCACTAAACAGACTTATTAAACCATTCTTATAAATGGTTTAATAAAAATGCTAAGGATAATTATCCTAAAGATCTAAAAAGATTGTATTCAAACTACCATTTTCCACTAGACATAGTCTAATATATAAGATAGTAAAAGCTATAATACCTGTACAGAAAAAATTTTAAATTCAAAATTAAAGTTTAGAATAATGTTATAATCGTTTTCTAATTATGCTATTAAAGAGTAAAAGTTTATTTAAAGCTTCACTGATTTATATTATTTAAAATAAACATAAATACATATGTTTATTTTTTTACATGTATTTTTAGTTCCAATCGTCACTATTTATATCTTGAATAATGTCCGTATTTTCTCTCGGCAAATCTTCATCTTCAATATCCTTTTTGTGTTTTTTTATTTTTCTTTTGTTTGATTTGCTCGGCTTACTTGTTACTGGCTCTTTTTTGGCATCACTGTTCGATTCTTTTATCTGAAATTCAAATTCGCTTTCTTCTTCACTGTCTTCCTCAAACTGTTCATCGTGTTCTCGTTTCTTCGATTTCTTCAGAACAGGCAGTTTGTATTCCGATACTTCCTCGGTTTTCGTAAGCAGTTTCAGTTTTTGTGATTCATGAAGTTTGATCCACGAAGCGTAAAACTTGGCTATCGCGGTGCCACCCGTCTTTATCATGTTCTCCCAATTTGTGATCTCTTCCGTATTTCTTAAATCAATAGATATCTTCATACGCTCGGTTTCAATGTATTTCCTATTTTCTTCAATTTTGTCTAAGAGCTGTTTGATTTTTCGGCAGTAACTCGCCACGCGACACTTCTTTAGGAATGCTTTTAACTAGAGATGCGGTTTAATTTGTTAATTTTTGACATTTAAAAAAATATATATTCTCTTAAAATATGATTTTCTTTTACATACCTGTATTACACTAGGAATATATACATCTGGAAAATATATTGTGTGGCTTTCATTAGCTGCATTTTCCAGTATGAGTTGATAGACGGTTTCGATGACACTATCTTTAAAACCGTTTTCCGCGAGTTGAGATTTTGACATTCTCAATATACACATAAGCGATACAGGTTTCATTGATACTGTCTTGTGTTTTTTGTTAAAATCATAGGAATTCAATATCTAAACAGAAAAAAAAGATGAATCTACGATACTTTCATCGTATCACAATAAATGAAAATAAAAAGAATAACTGATACCTCAAGAAGGAACGGTAAAACTGGTATAAACGTTTCAGTCTCCTTAGAAATCGTGATTAACATCTGCACACAGTGGAATCGCAATGGATAATATTGCGCAGTGGGGATGACTTTTATCGTTCCCGTAATTATCTAGAAATATATAATTTTTAACGCGCTTATAATCAACCGTTAAATTTTTATCATATTTGCTTGTGAGAAATAAATAAATACCTGTACTAATGGATATAACAAAGATCGCAGATTCGATTGTTTCTTTAACTTAGTTATTAATTCCGTCCAAAAGCGTAAAGAATTTATATATTGCCAATTATATACAGCTTGAAAATTTTCCTAAAAGAAAGATTATGTATTGAAAACATTAACAATGAATGACTTTCATGACTTCAATAATTATGATTGATTACCTTCTTTTTTAGTGTTGTAGCATTTCTTAAATGAATGGCTAATTGCCTGATATAAAGGAAGGCGTGACTGTAGGAAAGATTATCATCAAGCAAATAAATCTCAGCCAAAGAATGCCTCATGAAATTTATCTCAGGTAGTGTGTTAGGTGAAACAAATTTTGCATTCTCCACATATTTCACATACATAGTCTACAAATAATGAGTCCAATATGATACGACTGTAAATGAATATTCTTTTGACTATAGCATGTTGATCTCACCTTTAATAGCATTTCCAGTACAGATCCTGCATGATTTGTTGCGATACGAAATATATTTATGAAAGCTACGACGCGAACATTTTCTTCTCCAGTTGACCATAGTTTTAACAAGATTCTTAGTAATGGTTTTGTTAGGGATGAAAATGACTGAGTATAAAGTAACATTTGATAAAGATGCTTTAGAAGCACTGTGATGATATTGGCTGACGTTACACTTTGTATTATCTACAAATAAAATATATATAACATTTATTATATTTAAGCTATAATAATAAAGCTAAATAAAAAATTTACATACCTTAATTAAATCCACCAAGTATGATTTTAAGATACCACGTACTTTTGGAAATCTCTTACATTTATGCACTTCTTTAGATGTTGAGTCAAGCTTCAAGAAGCACTTAAAAGCATCAGGTAAGTGCATTATACATAATTGTACTACACCATTAAATACTGAAAATGTATATTAATAAGATTAAAATATAATTATCTACAAACTAATCAATGGCTAAATGGAAGCTAAAACTGACCTGCACTTCCTTCTACTTTATACTGCAATGTGGTTGTATCAGCTGACTCAGCAACAGTTTCCATAGCTGCATGAAAAGCATCCACGACGCATTTGATAGTAGTTAATGATCTACAAATTAAGGACACTATATACTTAACACTTTATTGAATATTTCATAAAAAAAATAAATATGATCATGATAAAAATATCTTACTTGTCTGTATGTATTTTTTCCTGCCAAATTTTCAGCAATTGTAATGTAATTTTTTTTTTAGAACCATCTTCAGTGATGTCAGTTTCCTCTGGTTCAAAATCACTGTCATCGCTAGCAACCTATTAATATATAAAGATGTATTTAAAAAATACTTTAAGTATTTGCAAATACTTAAGTGTTTAAGAAATACTTAAATGTCTACAAAAGTAAACACATACCTCTAAATTTTCATCAGGAACATGTTTGTTATCTAAGTTATTTATTGAATCATCGTCATCTTCATCATCAGATACTTTAAACTCCAAAAGATTCTTGTCGTTTTCTTTTAAGTATTTATAAAATTCTGGATCTGTGTCTTTTAATTTCATTAATGAAATTTTATGCTCAGCTGGATCTAGATTACTTTCACCACTATCACTATCTTCCTGTTCAAAGCTTTTATCATCTGCATAAAGAGGTAACAAAGAAATAGTAATGAATACACAATTCGTAATATAAAAGAATTAAGATATTATATATCATTTTACCTTTCTCTTCATTTTGCTCATTATTGTCACTGTCCATATCATTTTCAATGACGTGTTCAAAGAATTCTTTTGTAGTTATCTTATTCAAGTCCTTTTTCATAGTAATCATTTTATGATTCTTCTTATGTATCTTTTGCCTCTTCATTGTCAAAACTAACCATGTAAAACAAAAAAGTTAAATATGTTCATACAACAAAAGCGTGTATAATCTCTTGCTTAATCTATAAACATTTTAATTTGTAATTTATAGAATTCTATTCTTCTTTCTTACTTGAAATATTTATTTTATAAAATTACTAATGCAAGCGCGCTATGGAGATAATTTTAAATATAAAAGTTTTTAAATCGCTCGATTTCCACGTGCGAAATTTCCACTTTTTTCCCACGTGTCAAATTACATTAATCTATAGCTGCATTCCGAAATTCACTGCCGGTACTGAAAATCTATAGTTTATGTTACGTATACTATAGATTTTCAATACTGGCAGTGAATTTCGGAACGCAGCCTA